TTTTTTTTTTTTTTTTTTTTTTTTTTTTTTTTTATTTTTTGTTTTTTTTTTTTTTTTTTTTTTTTTTTTTTGAGATTTCTTTTTAAGAGTTGTGAAAATCAGTAATTGAAGAGAGTTTGGTAGCAGCTAGGCAGGTTGAAATTTAAGTGTTATGTGCTGAATGCCTTGGGAATTTGATCTGCTTTATACCAAAGAAGAGCACAGAGAAAAGTATTTATTTATTGGGGGAAAGGCAGAGAGTGTGTGGGGGGGAGGGAAGGAAAGAGGGTTAAGGGAGGGGGAGGGAAGTGGTTTTGGAGACAAGAAGTGAAGCTGCCTGTTTTCCAGTAAGTAATGGAGAAATTCCAGGAGCCAGGGCTAAATATACTTGGCGATCAATACAGAAATGGCTCATTGTGAATAATTTAGCTGCCTGGTGCAGTGAGAGTTTTGAAACTAAAGGCAAAAAAAGAGGCCATGGAGGGAGAGAGGAAATAAAATTTTCCTCTGGTCATGTCAGATTCTTAACTTTTCTACTTAAAAGAACATAGTTATGATTATTGATCTTTTTTTTTTTTTTCACCCCCACAATATATATCAAATGATAGCTAGGGGGTGTCATTCTATACAGTTACTTGGGTTTCGGGAAAGTAATAGCTTGTTCTGTGTCAGCAAAGTGCTTCCAGAAACTTTAAGATTGCTTCACACCACAAAATGTGTGATCTGGGAGTATGAAAGTGATGTTTGGCCCTGTGCTGTGGCAGATAAATAGGGTTAGAGTGAACAGGTGTGTGTACAGGTGTGTGTGCACACAGAGGTGTGAGACAAAGCTGCAACAACTGTGTCCAAGGGGAATGGACACGGGAGGGTTTATCTTGTTTAGACCAGGAGGCAGTCTCTTGTAGTGTGTGAAAAGAGCAATTGTTAGTAGTATCCATATCCTCAAAGTCTGTTCTGACTGCAGATAGAGCAGATAATTGATAAAGCATCCCAGCTTGAAGAAAGTTGGGGAAAAACTCTCAGATCAGGCAAAAATGTGAGTGGGGCACAGAGAGAGAGGTATGGTCAGACCAGGATGATCCACCTGGCGGGGAGGCAGCTGCATGTCTACTTACAGAATTTACAAGAAGAGTTCGGTGATTTGCAAACGAGCGCATGCAGTGCACTTGGGTGTTTCGCTAGGCAGTGGTTGCAACAGCAATAAAATGGGCAACTACTTAGGGCTTTAAGTAAGTTTAATCATTTAATGGTTGATACTGACAGGCGTCTCTGAGGGTGTACTTTTCTGCCTTGCAGCACTGCACTTTGACTATGGAAGCAGAAGCTGTTGATGGATATATTACATGTAAGTACTTATTTTGTTTGATTATTCTAAATTACTTTTCTTTCCCTACTCCTTTGAATAATGCAGAAACCTGAAAGTTTGGCTTCCTTGTGTGCAGTGTCTGCACTGACACTGAATTAGTAGCATTTAAAGTCTCTGTATGACTGAGAGATGTATGGGGATGGGTGTATGGGTGATTAGGTTTAAATATTTGCTGAGGGTGAATGAACTTTGCAAATGAGAGAGTTCCTCTCCAGAAATTCAAACTGCAGTTAAAAACTTTTTATGCCTTTCCCTATGTATTTCTCTTGTTTTCAGTGTGGGGGGGTTGTGCTTTGTTTAACTGTCAGTTAACCCAGAGGTTTTGGAGGAAGGTCTGTATGGTGAATTACTGTTCCAGTCTTCCCTTGCCCAGCCTGGATTGTCCCTGTCTGCTAATGGAAAAGGAATCCTAACTCGCTTAAAACCAAGCAGCTGGGACAAGGTTGGCCACAGGAGTGCGAGTAAAAGATTGGTGACAATAGCTTTGAGAGGACTCTTAAAATCAGCCAGATGTTTACAAGGGGCCACTGAGAGTCGAGATCTGACAGGCTCTGGAAGACCCCACCAGTAAAGGAGGGAAGGGCAGGGGCAAAGGGAGCAGGCGGGTTGTGGTTCTTAATCTTTGTGTATCTCTGCTGAAGAAGGGGACACAAACTTACGGGGACCTGTGTTGTGCTCGCAGGTGACAATGACTATTCGCCTGAAAGGGAGCACTGCGGCATGGCCATCGACCTCACCTCTAGCACTCCCAATGGGCAGCACACCTCCCCCTGTCACATGGCAGGCAGTAAGTCTCCTCTTAAGCCTGTTTCTCTCTAGCTGAGGGTTGGGTTGGTCTGGTCCTCCCTGGTCCTTGGTTTGCTTACCAGGTCTTAGCCACTGCTGTTGGCATTGCCAGTAAGAGAGGAGGACAGGGAAGATTTTCTTTATTTTTTTGGTTCTTGTTTGTGCTGGTGTCTCATCTAAACATGAATGGGATTACTAGTCTGAACTATCCCAAGGTGGCATTTGAGAGCTGGTCCTTACCTGCTCCAGGTAGGAAAACGCTAGGCTTGACATGTGCTGGTTTTGTTTCCTCAGGTTCTGAAATCCAAATACAAATTGTTGTTATTATTATTGTTGCTATTACTTATTTTGCTTCCCAAAACAGCTTGAAGTAGCTTTATCTGAAAACAAACAAAATTATTTACAAAACTGTAGTTGATTTTAACAAACTGAAAGGAGTTTGGTTTAGAATGTTAGGCAGAAACTGAGAGTTTAGTGAGTCTGCACAGTAAGTCTCAAGAGCTGATAATACTTATAGAATTATTTTCCTGTTATATATGGGAGGTGGATAAATGTAGCTTACACAATTTCATAAAAACAACAATCTTCATTTTCTGTGTGTGTGAGTGCCCTACCTTGTTTAAGTGTTGGTTACAGTGTTGCATCAAGATATTTACCTTAATGTAACCTCTGCACTTATAGTCCTGAAAAAATGTAGTGCACTTTTCTTTCAACATACTTAGTGTTTCTTTCTATGTGATACTAATTTTGTTTCTGTTTTTTGTATACTACAGATACATATTTATCTATTTAAACCAAGGGTTAGTAAAATGCTCTGCTGAAATCTGTGAAAGAAAGAGAGCTTCTAGGATTACTTGCTTAAAAATGCACAGTGTATTGCCTTCAGAGCCTTTCTGAGAAAAAGATGTTACTTTCCTTTAGAATTCTTTCCTCGTGCAAATTACGGGTAAAGCGCAGTTTTATGAGCCTTTAAACTGAGGGTTATTATGAAGATCTCTCAATTATATACATGTTGCTGGAGAATATGATTTCTAATACCGTGGACTGAACTTTATATGACAACCACCCATAATTTAGCATCTTTAGACAATTCCAATTGTGCTGCACTGGGATTCTGATATACTTTATTATGTTGTAAAAGTTTTACTACTCACTTTCTTCGTTTTCTTTGTTTCCCTTTTATTAATGGGAAGGCTTCATTGGAAGGGGAAAAAGTATCTGTGTTTTAAATCTTCTTTATAATCTAGACTGAAAACCAAAGTCAAATTAGGAATTAAAAGATCTAGAATGAAGTCATGCAAAAGGCTTTAACACACTCAGTATTTTCATGTTCATGGTGTTAACATTTTCAATGGTTTTTAAGCTTCATTAGTTCTTTGCAACACATAGTATCTGCAGCCTTGATGAATATCTTAGGGTTTTTTTAAGAGGGGTTTTTTGGCCTGTCATAGGTGTCTCAAATGCTTTGAGATTAGGATGTGCTGCTGTTGAAAAATTAAGGGTTCTGCCTGGGTTTCCTAAGCCAAACAAAACTCAAGCTTCTTAAATTTATTGTAATTTATTTACTCTTTGCAGGCTTAGGATTGTTTTGCAGAGAGGAAGCTTGTGCTGCCTTAAACATGGAAGATATTGATCAGAGGTTGTCGGCTTTTGTGGCAGCTGTTACATTGGTTCATTTAAGGTTTTTGGCCAAATCTTGAATCTGGCACGTGTAGGCTAAATCGCCAGGCTGGGCTTTTGAGCTGTCCACCTGTTTTGTGGGGCACAGGAAATCCTTTTAATGGTTTGGTAACTCAGGGGCCTGCACCTCTTTTTAAAAACTCTTTTGGGTTTGTTTTTTTGTGTGTGTGTGTGTTTTAAAAGGAAAGATGGGGGTGGAATAGCCATTTGAAATATTTTGTATGAATTTAGTAGCTCCTAGTGGATTGACCCATCATCCATTGTTTTAGGTAGAGACAGTGGCTGTGTTGTATTTCAGACTGGTTTGATTTCCAGTGGGTTGATGGAGATTAGGTGATGTTGGCTGCCATTACAGCAGCCATGTCATCCTGGCTGGGTAGGACTTGGGAATGGAGGAGGTGATGCAGGGAGCAGACCCAAAATATTTTATTTCCTGATTGGTTGCCAGTCACTGCCAGAAGCACATGTCCCTTTTTGGCTGTGTGCTCTGGATGTGCACCTGCAAGGCAGAGATCAAAGTTTTGACCTTTGTTCTTCTTGCCTTCTACTGAATTGTTTTGAACCACAGCTCTTAATTTAGTCAGAATTTGTGCCTGGCTCAGAAGGAGAAACACCAAAAGAAGGAAATTTCTTGGATCTGTGCTGAAATGACTGAGTAGTGCTCTCCCAGCAACAGCAAAATTATGTGCTGGGTAAAGAGTCTTCTATGTTCATTAGCCCCTGGCAATCTGTGTTAGTAGTTCTGTCTGGATTACTGATGTTTTCAGGTTCTATTCCAAAAGGGTTTGGGTCAAATATTTTGGCTGCTGCATCCTTTAACCTATTGTCATTTTCAAGTATCTAGATGGTATTTGTAGGTTATGGATGGGGATGACACTCAATTTTCCTCGTGAATGAGATGATCCTGAAAGATGAATCACACTAAATCACCTGTCATAGCTAACTGATGATCTTACATATACCTGCCTTTAGCAGAAACTGCATGTGTGTTGGCAGATGCTCTGTTCTAAAATACTTCACTGTAGTTTTATGTAAGCAAAGATTTAAAATACATGTAAATAGTCAAACCGAAGAGGTTGATAGATCATCTCACTTTTCTCTACAGCAAAAGATGAATTAGTGTTACACCTGCTGAGTACAGATGATATATTTACATAGCCCCAAATCTGGATGTCCAGATTTTCTTTTGATCTTCCATAGGAAAACTCTTACAAAGGCTGACACCTAGGGCTGGGTGTCACAGGCTTGCTCAATTAACTTTGTGTTGGTACTAGAGAGTTCCCTGCGTGGCCCTAAGCCCCCCCACAGACCGCACTGAGTTCAAGGGAGTCTGTCTTGTTCCCGTCCGTGAATGTTGAACTGGGCTATAAGTGATCAGAAACCTCCGAATAGGAACTGGCATGCTAATTAAAGGCTAATGGGGAATCCTTATAAAAGAGGCTTTAAAAGGAAATAATTCCCAGTCACCTCCCCACAATGCCACACTGAGTTCTTACTACAGTTATTAGAGGTATTTTTCTCCTGTAGGTTAAAATGGACTTAGAGGAATGTCTGCTTTAGAAACTGCAGGGGCACAGTTGTTCAATTAGTTGACTCAATCATTGCTTTGTATAGGATGAAGGACACTTCTCTAAGATCACTGGCCTGGTATCATAGGGAAAATAGTAGCAGCAGCTATTAGCATCTGATAGTCAGTGACAAAGGCAATTTCCCCTTAAATTAGAGGCTTGACAGTGGGTGTCCCAGTTAACTTTCTTATCTTTGCTTTTATAGACAAAAGGAGCCCTTAAATGAAACAGAGTCAGAACAATCATAAATATCAAACCCAACATCTGATGTTTGAAACCGATTAAAATTGTGGTATGCTTTCAAGAGGTGTTTATAGTAGCTTGAAGCGTTAGTAAGTTATGAGAATTAATTCATTAAGAGAATAAGCCACGTCGGCTGACTCTGCTGCTGAAAATAATGAGGCGATCGCGTTTTCTGCGTGGTGGGGAACGATCGCGCTCTCTGACGAGATCACTAATTGGGACAGCAGCACTAAGTGGGAATGATTTCAGCAGTGGTGTTTAAAGAGAACTTGGGCAAAGTTTTATTATAATGTAGCCAATACTGTATTCCAAGTGATCAGGGTGGACTGTCGGTTGCACTTTTTTTTTGTGGCATAAGAGCCCCAAATCTTTCCTGATCACTTTCATTTTTCAAGCTGAGTTGTCATAGTACTCCTGTTTTGTCACAGTTGTGTTGTCCTGAGCAGAGATTTACATGTACCGCAGCTGTATTGGCAAATTGTAGGGATAAAGAAATGTAGTTTTGAAGCCTGACTTTTGGACTGAAACCACATAGAGTTAAAAAGTTGCTCCGTGCTTCAGTTCTATGGCAAACAAGTCTTTGCACACCCCGAAATTTACTCCCGGGCATGTGAGGCTGGACCTTGCTCTGGGATTCTTTCCTGGCTCAGTATGTGTTGTGGACTTTTTAGTAGGATGAGGTGATGGAGGCTTTCCTTTAGGGAGGGTGGTTGAAGCTGTCTGGGCTGGGCTGCAGAGGGGGACTGAATTAGTGCTTTGAGGCAGTTACTCCCCTGATGTGTGCACTGGGGCATGAAGAATTCTGGCAGCCAAACTGCTGTGCTCTGAACTGGGGATTCAGGTCTCCATTTCTTCCAAATATCTTGGAAAGTGCTAAAAACCGAGACCTGATCACCTCGAGATGCTGAGGAATCTTCCTTCCTCAGCAGCCTTTAAGGAGTATGGTAGGCAGCATTTATTGGTCTGGGTATCTTCTGTGTCAGTGCAGGGAGGTGGACTTTTGACAGTCACTTGAGATGCCCTCTAGTCCTTTGTGTCCGACTGCAGTCTTGATGCTTAGATTTTTTAGAGCTCAGCTATGGAATTGCTTGTTGATGCCCAATACAGATGTACCTGTGGTTTGGCAGGTTGAAGGACAGTGAAGATGGACTTTGCCAAGATGAGCTCAGACATGAGGGATGAGCTCAATAAAGTGTGGCAGGGAACTGTAAGAAGTGAGCTCCTTAGGCACTTACTAGAGCACGGTCTTTGCTTCAGTCTTTTATCCTCAGACTTCCTGGGAATTGCCAGGGCAGTAGTAGTAATCAAGGTTTTAGCCAATGCATTTTGCTTTCTTGGAGTTTAAGAAGAAAAATTATTAAATGGAAAGGCAATAATCAGGGTTTTAACAGAAATAGAGGAGTTTTCCACACCTAAGAAACCAAAGCTCTGCAAAGTAGTGCTGCACTGTGTTTCTTGAAAAAAAAACTCCAACCCAAACAGAGGAAAGGGTTAACTGGAAATTAAGCAT